GGGCTCCAGGGCCAGGATGGGGGCAGAAGAGTTTCCCTGGTGGTGCCCAGAGTGGCCACCAGGGAAAGCTGGGGAGGGCTAGCCTCCCACTAGTTCGAATTAAGTGGCTACACAGCCCTTAATTCGAACTACTTAATTCGAACTAGGCGTTAGTCCTCGTGGAATGAGGTTTACCTAGTTCGAATTAAGCGCTCCGCTAGTTCGAATTAAGTTCGAACTAGCGGTTTGCCTGTGTAACGCCTATCGAAGTTAATTCGAACTAACGACTGATAGTTCGAATTAACTTTGTAGTGTAGACATACCCAAATAGAGTTAAAATTAAGTGAATTATATTATATAGTTTCATGCAGTAACAAAATACATATGGGAGAGACTGTATTATATCTTTGTCACAATAAGATAATTAAGTCCAAGCTAGTAGTCAGTGCCTTTCAATAGTCCCTACGAACATGTATCTTGATGGCAAAACCTCAAAGACTGATGGGCCCTGTGGGAATCCAGAACACTCTGAGGGGATTGTTGTCCAGTCATTTCACTAGTGAGCTTTTGACCTACTAGAAGATTCTAGTCATCTGCAATACAGGTCCATTACTGAACTGGCCCCAGTCACTCCAAGGATGTTGATATGAGAAAGACAGCTATACAGTTAAAAACTAAATCACTCACTGGAGAGTCATTGCTCCAGCGAAAGCCCTCATCAGGATCCAGGCAAATTAAACCAATCCAGAAAGGACGAAAAGACAGTCCTTTGTCCCTAAAATGTATGATGGAAATAGAACAGTATGTAAATGTAACAGGGCATCAATATACACAGTCAGTTCTAGTACTTACCACAGAGAAGTACATTTGAAAGCTCTCTATACAAATCTCTCTTTTGTCTGCTGGAGGCTTAAAGGACTATTCAGAACTTTAAACCTAATAATTTAAATTAATTGTGAAAGGATCAGAAGATAAATATTCTGCAGAAGTACATGGCAGTGAAGTGTTGACCTCTGTATAGGAGAGGTCTTCACTGAATTAATTGTTGGCAACTAACTTCAATGGAGATTTTCAAAACCAGACAGTTGCAGTTATGTGTCTATCTTTCATAATCATCAGAGCAATGCAAAGTATTGTGTGTGACAAATGTATTGTGTGACAAATGATAATTTAAAAGTTGCTAAATTGTTTTTATATTCTGCAGAAGTACATGGCAGTGAAGTGTTGACCTCTGTATAGGAGAGGTCTTCACTGAATTAATTGTTGGCAACTAACTTCAGTGGAGATTTTCAAAACCAGACAGTTGCAGTTATGTGTCTAACTTTCATAATCATCAGAGCAATTCAAAGTATTGTGTGTGACAAATGATCATTTAAAAGTTGCTAAATTGTTTTGGTTTTTTTGGTGTTTCATTGTTGCCTTCTTTTAGGAAAAGTGTCCACGTAGATGATAAAATGATTAATGGTTTAGGATACCTCAGTGTTAGGAAAGATTAAAATATGGACATGTTTATCCTTGAGAAAATAAGACTGAGGGAGAAGCTGGTAACAGTCTGCAAATATCTTAAGTGCCATTATAAGGAGCTTGGGAATCAAATTATTCTCTATATCCACTAAAGTTAGGACAAGAAATAATTGGCTTAATCTGAAGCAAAGGACATTTAGGTTAGATGTAAAGGAAAACATTCTAAATATGTTTGTTAAGTACTCGTATAGATGGGCAAAACAGTTGTGAAATCACAGTTACTGGAGGTTTTTAAGAACAGGCTAACTGAGGGGATTGGTACACCTATCCCTGGGGGTCCACAGAGGTCTTCCAGGGAATACATCAATTCCTCTAGATATTTGCCTAACTTAACAGAAATCGACATAAAAAGCCATAGTAATATCAGTGCAAATGAAAATTTTATTTAGACACTCACTTGTTTATACAGGTCTGTTAGCTATATACTGAAATGTAAGTATAATATTTATATTCCTTTATTTATATTGATTTATTTTATAATTAAATAATACAAATGAGAAAGTAAGTAATTTTTCAGTAATAGTTTGCTGACACACATTTTTATTTTTAGGTCCAATTTTATAAGCAAGTTGTTTTAAAGTGAAGTGAAACTTGTGGCATACAAGACAAATCAAATGCTTAAAAAGGGCATAACAGTCTGGACCCCTAGTCTAGGCCTCTAGATAGATACTTTGGTCTGGTCTCAGTAAGGGAAAATGGATGATCTCTTGTGATCTCTTTCTGTCCAATATTTTGATGAAATGTAAGTGGAAATTAGTTCTAAATGGAAACATCCATTCTTTTTCCCCCATTATTCTTAAGTTTTTTGTACAATATAAACCAATTTTAGAAACTCTCAAACCACACTTAGAAATTAGTACATGAAAATTCTATTTAACTTGTAAAGTTTTTGTATTGACTCAACACTTTTTCTAATACACCTGATTATACATATTCATAGATTTTCAACTGACTATCTCAGGAAGGATCCAAGAGAATTTTTAGATTTCTATACAACATGTTATATGTCAATATTGTTACACTGAAAGATGAATTTCAATGCCTATACTTACATTATTGAACGCTGTATCACTTGTTCTTCTTCTTCACTAGTGATGGCAGCCAGATCGCCTCCTATTGCTCTACAAAAATCTCGAGCTTCAAGCCATGATTTCTTTTTGTTTCCTTCTCTTACAAAAAGCTAATGATATATTTTACAATTAAACACTGTGCCTTATGCTCTTTTCATTATAAAAAACCTCCCATTTTATCTATTTTCCTCTATGACAATTTAAGACAATATGAGAAATCAAATAGCTAATCTTACATAAAAGTAAACATATTTAACATGGAATACAGAAATCCCTCTTCAGATTATAATCTGCAATTTCATTGATAATTGACAGTTGACTCAAGACCCATAAATTGTCTATACACTAGCTTGTTACATTTGCACAATAGTCTGGGTATCTCTCAAGTTTAAACTTTCTTTGTATCTGTCTGCATGTATTATTATATGCAATGCACTATTCCTTTGGACATTTAATACTTACTTTGAAACATGAACTGATGTTATTGTTTGAATGCCAACCTGTAGGGCATTTAGAATCAGACATTTTTTCTGGAATAGGATGCTGTAGGGTCGTTCCGTCAACTGGTTGTTTGCAGAGAAATTTTGCCTTTTCTTCACACTCCTGAACATGCCATAATCCAGCTTCACTTCCGGTTGTCATTGCCACACATCCTGGCTTTCTCCCTTATATATTTATAATATATAAATAAAATTAAAATGTACAGTTTTTTTCCTTTTTGTTCCCACTGTAACTTTTGTAACTCATTTTATGTTTTATGAGAATGAAATCTGTACTAGAGTTGGGTCATGGTTATCTGGCTGCTCAAATAAGGAGTTTTTCAAAGTGAAAACATCTAGGAGTCCTGGGCCACATAGTCGACGGCTGAAGGCCCAGTTGGAGAAAGCAAGTCAACC